GAGGCGCACACAGGCGTGAGGCTCGGTAGCTGCCTGGAGGCAGCGGAGCCTCAGGACGCACAGAATGATGTCAAGGAGAATTGGGTTTGTAATCCCTTCTTGGTTTTAGTTGTTTTAGGGTTTGGGGCCGGATCGGGATTAAAGACTCGGGATCTAAGGACTGCTCTTGCCAGTTCAGTCGTCGTATTCTTCCCGGCATCGAACAACGATACCATCGTAAACGCGGTGGGTACACCTACAGTACTGGTTGCAGCATGACGCTGGCAGCGACCGTGCTGATGGTCATCGGCGCCACCATCACCAACACCGAGACACCATCAGCACCTTTATCGAAATCAGTATCGTCTTTGGCCAGTAGGGCATCAGCATCATCATGGCGACAAGCATAAACTTGCCCGTCTTGCAGAATCGCTTACAGATGAAAAGTCGCAGATCTGCAAAGATGCTCAAACAATATGTGCAAACACCCGCGGGGCAGGACAGCTCAACTCAGGTTTGATTAGCTTGAGATGGATACAGCTGCACGAGAATCCACAACTAAACCGTAAGGCAGGCTTGGGTGGTACCAGGCTTGGGTGGTAGCCCTTCACCAAAAGCGTTGTCCCAGAATGGAAAACTACTTCAAGGGCCGTTGTTCAGAGCAGCAGCAGCAGCAGCAGCAGCAAGCGACCGATTCAAACGGTGCTGTTTCGCACAAGGTGTGTACTGATGCAGTGCTCTGCAAGGCAAGTTTTAAGTCTTTTCACAAAGGATTCGACCTCTGCCCCAACTGCCAAGCCATGCTTTGCTCCGCACGTTACACCGACCACAAGTTGGTCCGCAAGTTAGTTTGAATGATGTGCCACGGTGAACGTAGTGGTCGCGGCAGTGGTGAAGTGGTTGTCGCAGCCGCAGTGGCAGTGGGGAGTGGTACTGGTCGCGGTGGTAGTCGTGGTCTTGGTCGTCATGGTGGTGGTAGTCGCGGTGGTAGTAGAAGTAGTAGTAGTAGTAGTAGTAGTAGTAGTAGCAGCAGTAGTAGTAGTAGTAGTAGTAGTAGTAGTAGTAGTAGTAGTAGTGTAGCAGTAGCAGCAGTACTAGTACTAGTACTAGTACTAGTACTAGTACTAGTACTAGTACTAGTACTAGTACTAGTACTAGTACTAGTACTACTACTACTACTACTACTACTACTACTACTACTACTACTACTACTACTACTACTACTACTACTACTACTAGTAGGCGCCGTCATCGTCGTGGTGGTGGTGGCGGTGTTGGTGGTGGTGGTGGTAGGCGGTAGTGGTAACTTAGCAGTAGTTGTTGTAATTAGTAGTAGTAGTAGTAGTAGTAGTAGTAGTAGTAGTAGTAGTTGTTGTTGTTGTTGTTGTTGTGGTCGTCGTCGTCATCGTCGTCGTAGTCATTATCGTGGTGGTGGGGGGTGGTGGTGGTGATGGTGGTGGTGATGGTGGTGGTGGTGGCAATGCTGGTGGTAATGGTGGTGGTAAAAGTGGTGATAACGGCGGTAATGATGGTGGTTGTGGTGGTGTTGACGGTGGTGGTGATAGTGGTGGCGGTGGTGGTGGTACGGTGTTGATGGTGGCGGTGTTGATGGTGGTGGTGTTGATGGTGGTGGCGGTGTTGTCGGTGGTGTTAATGGTGGTGGGGGTGTTAATGGTGGTGATGTTAATAGTGATGGTGGTGATGTTAATAGTGATGGTGCTGATGGTGGTGGTGTTAATGATAGTGCTGTCAATGGTGGTCGTGGGGATGGTGATTGTGGTGGTGCTGGAGGTGGTAATGATGGAGGTGGTGCTAGTGCCGGTGGAGGTGGTGGAGGTGGTGTTGGTGGTGGTACCGGTGGTGCCGGTGCCGATGCTGGTGCTGGTGCTGCAGGACCAGCACGAGCAGCGATAGCAATTAGCCGCCGTCGCAATAGCAGTGGTACTGCTAGGGTTGCTAGTGTTGGCAGTGGTGGTGGTGCTGGGATGCTTATCGCCCAACTGCTGTGCAAGCTCTGGCAAACTAGCAATCGTTCCTTGGTCGTCAGCCCGATAAATCTTAAACCACTGCTCCGATTACCGGCCGAGCGGCGTGCTATGCCAAAAGCCTTCAAGCTCCGCTTCCCGACCGTCGGCCTCTGCCTTGGCAAATTTCTTCTCCGGGCTGGTACGAGGAGAACGAGTTCAGGGCTTAGGTCTCTGTCACCTGAACGCACCACCCCAAATCCCACAGGTGGACGACCGAAGGGCAGCCGAAGGGAGCAGCTCTTCCATAGATTGGAGGGCAGTAAGGCGCAGCTGCCACGCCTCGCTGTCGCTTCAGAACAAACAGACTCTGGAAATTCCAAGCGAAGTTCTCGAGAAATGAAGGGGAGGTGTGCCAAAACGAACATTACCTTCGGAGCGAAAAGCTTTGGGGACTTGAACGTCGATGGCTGTCGCCATACACTGACGTGGCTTCGCCCATGCCAGAACAGAGTCAGCACAATCCCAGCGGGCATCAACTTCCACTCATCTGACATTTTGTCCAGGGCGCATCTGGGCTTCACTTCTCATGAGTTCATGACGCGTTCATACTGAGCTCACAACGGCTTCACTTGGGTTCATATACATATAAGAAACCAAACACAGAACTCATGCACACAACTGAGGAGGCGTTCTGCAGACATGTCCAAGTTTCAGCATGTGAAGTGAAGTGAAAAGTTTCGGACAACCGAGAAAATCATCATCATGGTTTTGCATGTGACCAATCCAGCTGTGCTCTTGCACCCAGGAACTGGTCGCAGGTACGTTTACCTGTCCATGTGACAAAGAGCTTCGTTGGCGCGAGCTTTGTCACCGGACCTCGCGCCCCCTGCAAACTGAAAGAAAAACGACAGAAAAGAAAGAAAGAAAGAAAACCATGAAAAAAGCAAGCAAGAAAAACAAGGAGTTTCCATAGGCCAAAGCATGCAGCGACAAAAGTCTTCAGAAAGGAAACCATTAGGAAAGCGGACATGTAAGTGCAGATTTGTCGCATGTACAGCAGAATAACACAAACAGGCCCCCGAAGGGGCACAGAAGCCTCAGGATGCACGTTTTTATCGCGACTGTTCCCGGTCATCAGAGCAGCAAAACGCCTAATCAAGTCTACGCTTCTTCCTCGTTCGCTCATTGCGGTCATTGACCTGGTGGTAATAGCATCGGCAGTGATTGTGACCTTCGTCTGCTCGAGCACAAACACGACCACAGTCCGGGTAAGAGCAAATTCCGGAGCATTGTGACGTCCTTTGTTGAAATTCCGGAGAATCGCGTAGGATTTCGACAACGCGAAGCATCAACCGAATGAGGTCTTGCGGGTGAACATGACTGGAACGTAGATTATCAAGGGCATCGTCAGCTGCTGTTTGTACAACATCTTCCAAATAGTCATCGCTGGCTCGCCTCGACCCTGGTTCATAACGAAGAGTACGACGGCCACTGGACGACATGATTGGTCACTGAGACACCTATAAGCTTGAGCACTGCAATGCAACACAGCAAAAGACAGTACATGGACCAACATGTCTGAACCTGCATGACAAAGCACCGCAGATACTCTTATGTCGCATCATCCAGTCAGGTCCGAGTCATACCTACACTTTACAGTGGGTGGACAATGCGACGAACATTGAGATCATCGATGAAAGCAGATCCAATACGCAGTCGGTCTTCATTGGAATGATGAATCCATTCCACCGTTGCATGGCGTACTTGGGCAAGACGCCAAAGCTGTTGAATATTGAAGAAGGTACGATCGCCAACCAATCGAATAATGGAATAATACCATTCTTTGCATACGGACGCGAACACCACAATGTGAGGTAAAGCTGGAGCTTCACAAGTGATCGGCGTGTATACACTGGGTCCTTGCATGAAGAACTCCTACACTTCAGCACGAAGATTCATACCCTCTGTTCTGCATTGTGTAACGAACTGCTCAAGATCATACATCGTATGGAATCCATGTCTGCGTAAAGTAACATCCAAAGTCTCAAGCGGATCTAATGGCGGAAAAGTGAAAAGAAGATAATATGACGTCGTGTGCTGGTGAAGGTCAGCACTTTATCAGTCAGAACAGTAAGTTCCCACATGGCGTCAGAGGGATTCCTACAACACACAGAAGCACTACGAGAAGGTTCGGGCTAACGTCCTGCAGTGGAAAATGGTCAAACTTTTTGAATGCAAGTGCATCGAAAGCTTAATAGCACGCAGAACAAGACACAACATTTGCTCCGTTGACCAGCATACTTCTCAAGTCCACCACACTGATTCGTGTGGCCATGTTCTCACAAAATGAACAGCCTGGGTGGTATGCGGAAAAGCAGCAACTCGAGAAATCGATGATGTAAACGGCAAATGTTGGCCGAATTGCCGTAATTGGAAAGCGTTCAAACGAGGTGGAATCCCCGTGCGTTCCGCGAGCTCATCGCACACCTTCTTCTTCAGGTCATCAATTGTAGAATCTGTTGGGATCGATAGCCAAAAACCCATCTCTCGTCCGCCAGAGCATATATCTGGAGGTACAACAACTGGAATCCTGACCATCGGAGCTGGGGCCGGAAGGGCCGCCATACTTGCTGTCCGCTTCATCTTACAAATTGAGCCGTAAGAGACTTCGTAGCTTCATGCTAACAGGATGCACAACCAAAACTGACCGTACAAAAGGTTGCAAGCAGGCACAGGGCATCAATTTTATCGAGCACAGACAGCAATCTTACCGAACGTGACGAGAGCCACCAGGTGAAACAGTTGTACTTGATCTTGATCTAGACCGCGAACGAGATCTCTCACGAACTTCCGATTCACTCATGGATCTATTTCTTCGAGCAGCAGTACCACTCTGTTGCCGTCGGCGAGGTAATGCATCACGCTGATGAGGGTCCGTCGGGGAGAGAGTGGATCCATCTGTCATTGTCGGTGCAACATCACTCGAATCGGCTCCATGAGAAACATCTAAAGGAGAAGGAGACGGAGAAAACGGAAAACGAACAGGAACAGAAGAAGAAACAGGAGGGGGAGGAGGAAAAACAGGAGGAGGGGGAGGAGGGGGAGGAGGGGGAGGAGGAGAGGAAACAAGAAGAGAAGACAAAGAAGGCAGAGAGGGAGTCAGAGAGGCAGAATGGGAGGACGTGCCGAGATGTTGCGAAACAAGGGTATCAGCATCATACTGAATACGGCGTCGAAGATGAGAAAGAAGCACTTCTCTCCGCCGGCGATCTCCCAAAATCTGAAAAAGAGCCTTGACTTGTTCTCCATCCAGACTGCTGATTATGTCATTGCAGCTCAGCAAAGAGCCGGACATTGATACGTTGGATGCGGTGCTCAATAGCTTGAACCAACATCTGCCAAAACTCACATTCTTGCACCCGCATGCGCACAAGTAATAGAACATCGGCTGACAATTTTTCTGAACTCACGGCAACCTATATGACTCTGACATGCGGAGCAGGAAACTCGCACGCCGAAAACGTAACTTGGTGAAGTTGGCACCAACATGTCTCAATGCCCATGAGCTGGTATGTACAAGAAGGCTTCAGTCGAGAACCATGGCAAACTCGCAATCGCATCAGGAACTTGATATGTCGCAGTGTCAGAATGCGGCACTGCATAGAAATGCACAGAAAAGATTCGCTGCATCGTGGAAGAAGGTGTGTAAAATTGAATGTGGCAGAATCATTGGACAGTCCATGGTAATTGTGTGCTCGGAAACATCGGCCCATCCCATGTATCAACCATCTTTGCCACTGAGCGAATTGCTGACTTCGACAATAATCGGGATTGTCACATCTCTGTGTGCTGACATGCACACTGCTGCATACCATAAGAAAGGAGAAAATGCAGTATCGGGGCGCCTCTTCCTTCCAAACATCAAGAAACTGGCACATGGTCATTGTCTATTGAGTAGTGGATCATACCTCTTGAGCACATGTATCAAGATCAAGTGGGAAACAGTGCATGACAGCCGATGCGAGCACAATAAGCATACACGAAGGAAGTCTTTTTATGCGTCCCATGACATGTCACCCGAACATTGCTCATCTGAAGCGTCGGCATCGAGAACAGAGGGGGACACGACGAAAGAAGAACAAGAGGACCAGAGAGAGGAGGAGCAGGACCAAGACCGCGAAGAGGAAGGACGGGAGAGAAGGGAAGACACAGGGGGAAGACCGAAAGAAGCAGACGAAGAGACCAGGGAAGCAACAGAGGAAGCAGGAGAAAGGGGAAGCAGCGGGGGACGAGCAGACGGACGAGGAGGAACAGACAAAGGAGAAGAAGAAGAAGAGGAAGGAACCGCCGGAGACGAGGAAAGACCGGACGAGAAGAAAGGAAACGCAGACAAAGGCAGAAGAGGGGAAGAGGAAAGAGAACCACAAGCGACAGACAAGGGAAGGGAGGAGCAGACAGGAACACGGAGACCAAGAAAACGAGCAAAAGGAAGACACGACGCATGGGGTGAAACTGGAACATGTTGCTTAACACAGAAACGAACCATCATGATGCGATTTCCAGCAAAGGGCATGGTGGCATGAATCACATTCCCATCAAAGCAGCATGGTTGTCTGACATCCAAGAGTCTGCCTTGTAACTGGTCACCATAGGACGCAACAGTGCAATTGGAATCGACAACTGTATTAAAGTGCGACCTCGATCATCCATGACAAGTAATTCTCCACCTGTCCAATCTCCAATGGCCCAACCAATACTTGGGCCGTGGTTGTTTGAATCTCTGTGCGGAATAGTCCGAACATTGCGATTGATCTGAATACTTGTGACAGCCAAATCTGAGAATTGGGGAGAACAATGTAGCATTCGAACGATCAACTTTGTAAGTCCAGGGAATCGGAATGTGTTCTTTGTAAATTGCAGCCTTCCTCGAGACTGCACCCCAGAATACAAGCCAAGCAAGAGCTGATCTGCATGAATTTGGTCTGTAGATCGAACCTTCTTCCGACTGTAATTCATCCAAATCCGTCGGGGGATACCATCAAGAACATGAGATAATTGTGCAGCCAGTTCATCCAATGACTGAAAATGAAATCCATCCGCATCTACATCAAATGGGCTGCGGTCTATGGTCGGCATGCTATCATGTTACTGAGCAAAAATCATCAGTCACATGTAAGGCGAATCAAAGAACACTGCAATGCACTGGCAACATGAGGCTGCAAACCCTAGCATCCATGTTATTTGGTTTTGAAGCATGCGGTCCACGGCGGAGTGCAACACTCAGAATGTGGGCAAGCGATTGATCTCATTCACTCTGAAAGTAGGAAGAAATCAAGCGAAGACAGAAGTAAACCATGGAATAGAAACATTCACTTATGCATCACGTGCCCACGATGTCCAAAAGACAGCAGTGCCTGCTAGGACACTCCGACTTGAACGAAACATCCAACGACCATCCTGGCCATGAATCAAATCGCCGAGATGCCCGAATGTTTGATCGGAGGCGTTAACAGCCTTGAAATGAGCGTGTTGCCTCACAAAGGTCCATCCCAGC